AAATTTGAAAAATGGTCGATTTTCGTTATTTTGGCATCTTTTTTTTCATAGTTTTATTGGGTGGTGTGCTTTTCAGCTTTTCGATTGTTCCCCTTTCAAAAATTCCAACACCAGTTAATGCTACTCTAACGGGCTTTCCAACATTCCATCCTGAATTTCATAGTATGTAAAACTCATTTATTTAACAATATTTAACTATGTAAGATTGGTATTATAGTTTTTAAACATTTTGTTTTACTTAGATTTTAAATATTTTGTTTTTAATTAGATTATAATGTAGAAACATGGTATACGATGCTCTTTTTCACGGGTGTCATAGGAGTAGTTCAAAGTATATTTATACTCATATGGTCGGCAAAATATCAGACAATTAACTTTTTCATATATCATGGCGAAAAAACTCCAACAACTTCATTTAATTATTTGATTGCTGGTTATGTTTTCATAACTGGTACAATTGGGATTACTTATATTATATTTGATCTTGGAAAATTCTGGACAGCGCTTGCGATAATACATAGTTTTTTTGAAGTTACTATTATGTTACTTTTACATCAAAGAGGAAATTTTAATTCAAACTATTATATTCTTCCGTGGAGTTTCCTTTACTTATTAATATCCGAAGGAGTGACTATTTTATCGTATTGGCCTCTTAATGCTTTTTGGTTTAACTTTCAAGGTAAAAAAAAAAAAAAAAAAATACAGTCAGACCTCTCTAAGGCACGCCCTTGGGACCACACTTTAACAACATGCATTTAGAGAATAATAAGAAAAAGTGCATTTATAGAGGTCAAGTATATATTTGGGCCAGAAGATGAGCGTGCATTTAGAGAGGGTGTGCACTTATAGAGTGTGCACTTAGAGAGGTCTGACTGTATTATGTATTAAACGTATGATGTAATTCGAATATGATGCATTGACTAATATATGACGGATTTACAGGTCTTGCTCTTGATTGGGCACTTGTTACCCATTTTTGTAAGATTATACATTGAAACAAAAAAAAATTATCGTGAAGGTTATGACAGTTTACCCCAACACGCCTCTGATGATGGAAGGGAAAGGGAATCGGAAGAACATGATCGACCCAATCATCATATTAATCATCATGGTCATATTCTTCATGTGTCTTTATTACCTGTCGCTGCGTTATTTCACGTAGCGGGAAATGGTTTAAATACCATTTTTTTGATCGAAGGAATTTCGTAAGTTGATCTTTATTATTAATTAGTTTTTTTTTTTTATTGATAAAAAAATCTTATTAATTCTATACATTTGTTTTCTCTAAAAAATCATTTACTATAGGAACTATTTATCTAGCTACTGTTACGGCTTCATGTTTACTGCTTTATGCTTATTTGTGTATCTGGATACTCACTTGAAACCAAATCACCCGAAAAGACCCATTTTCATACCTGATACCTCCATTTCAGCCTGTATTTTAATTATCACCGCTTCAATAGCACTCTCGGCTCTGTGTCTTAGGCTCGGTTTGTTTTATATGGCACATATATAGTTAAAGCAAATTAGTCAAAACAGATTTATGCGCATAAGTTGTGCATCCTTAATGAGTTGAATTT